CAGTTTCATTAAGTCCCATTTGTTTATTTTTGCTGTTGGCAGTCTTCTTCATGAAGTCTTTCTCCAGGCCAATATCTTCCAATGTTTTTCCTATACTTTCTTTGAGAATTTTTATTGTTTCATGCTTTAAATTTAAGTTCTTTATCCATCTTGAATCAATTTTTGTGAGTGGAGAAAGGTGTGGGTCTAGTTTCAGTCTTTTACATGTGAATGTCCAGTTCTCTCAGCACCATTTAATGAACAGAGAATCTTTCCCCCCAGTGTATGCTCTTGTTTGGTTTATGGAAGATTAGGTGGTTGTAAGATGTTAGTTTCATTTCCTGGTTTTCTATTTGATTCCAAATGTCTATGTCTCTATTTTTGTGCCAGTACTATGCTGTCTTGACCACTATGGCTTTGTAGTACATCCTAAAATCTGGTATGCTGATGCTCCCTGCTTTGCTTTTATTACTAAGAACTGCCTTAGCTATATGGGTTTTTTTTCTGGTTCCATACAAAATGCAGAATCATTTTTTCCAAGTCTTGAAAGTACAGTGTTGGTATTTTAATAGGGATGGCATTGAATCTTTAGATTGTTTTGGGAAGTATAGACATTTTAACAATGTGGATTCTTCCTAGCCATGAGCATGGTATGTTCTTCCATTTGTTAATGTCCTCTGCTATTTCCTTTCTTAGGATTTCCTAATTTTCTTTATAGAGGTCCTTCATCTCTTTTGTTAGGTATATTCCTAGGTATTTCATTTTCTTTGAAGATATGGTGAAGGGAGTTGTGTCCTTAATTATCCTCTCATCTTATCAAGCTTTTATGATTCCAACAGTGTATATATAGTCATATGTTTATATATATATACATTTTTGTTGTTGCCTTTTTTCTATGGTCTTTTTCTGCTTTTGTGTGTTTTTTTTTTTTCCTTTTTTCTTTCCTGTAGGAGTTATTGTTTTTTAAAATTATTATTATTTTCTTTTTTTTTTCTTCTTCCTTTTCTCTTATGGTTGCTCAGAGTGCTTAGATCAGGCTGTTGGAGCTTGGGGTGTTCTTTTGTATTTTTGTTTTGTTTGTTTGTTTATTTGTTCATTTTGTTTCAATATGCCCTGTGTTTTGCTAAATCCTCGAGTTGGCCATTTTATATAACTCCAAATTTTACATTCAACAAGAGCAAGGGGAAGTGGAGGAAGATGGCCAGCTGGATCTAGATTTCAACAGAAGCTCCTATCCAGAGGGAGAGATAATGGTCAGAAAAAAAAAAAACCCAACAAAGCTGAAGGGCAGGAGCTGAGCTGAGAAAAGAGATTGACAATTGCACGTCTTCTCTGCTGAGGCAAGCTGCAACTCCAAGGAAACAAATTTCAGGTACAGAACCCACCCCAAAGAGGATGTGTGTCCATCCCCTCCCCCAAGAGAGTTGCTTGCTTGCTGTGGCATCTCTACTAGTGAGCGGTGAACTGAGGTCCTCTTCTCTCACCCCACAGGAGCAAGTTGCTGGGATTTGCTGGAAGGTTGGGACTCTGTCTCCAGAGAGTCAGTCGCTGCTGTAAGCCTGGGCATTTTCTTGTCTGGCATGAAGGTTGAACAAATATTTTCCTTGCTACTTTGAACTCCCCGTCCACCTTTCCCCCCTTGCCTAGTGATCTAGAAGCCCAATCCCTGCAGAAATCAGAATGTCTGCTCTTCTTTGTTAGGACTGAACATTGCATGGACTGCAGCAGTGCAGCTATGCTGTAACAGTGAATCTGGGAGCAGTGCAGAAAGGCACAGGAGGGAAGGTGTCTGGTCTGGCTTTGAGAAAGTGCAATTCAGCAGTGGGCAGAGGCTTGGGTCTCCACGCAATGGGTGGAGGCTCAGGAACTGCTGAGGCATGGGAACTGAGTAGAGACACCTCCCATGCAGCACCAGCATTAATAGAGTGATTCTGCCAGGGTCAAATTTCAGAGAGACACCTCCCCAATTCTGTGGACTGCCAGAGGGAGCTAGACCTTGCATTGCAGGGATACCAGAGGAGCAGAGTGACTGAGGCAGAGGCATGGTCTCTGAGGGAGAAAAACATTCACTGCTTTGTTAACCTCTGGGTTGTAACGAGCTCAGGTGGAATATTCCCCAGTTTCCATTGAGCACCCAAGGTAGTCAGGCTTCAGCTATCCCAGCTGGCTGGTGACAGAGTGTGGTGACCTAGTGAACTAGGCATTGACTTCCCTCTGACTCTGGCAGGCCCAAATCCCTGGTGCATTGGCTCATTGGAGGGAACTGGGCCATAGCCCCATGGGGCTACCAGTGCCTCGGTGTGATGGAGGTGCAAGGTGTAGAAGGAAGAACCAGCTCCCCTGGACAATTTTGCTGGGCAGTCCTTTCTGAATCCATGGAGCACCAGAGTGAGTTACACTTGAGCTGCCAGTGGACCCACTGTCTGGTTGCTGGAGACCTTTAGAACTCTCCCAGTTGAATTGCATTTGTGTTGACTGGGACAATGGGGTTGGAACTCTTGTCCTGGGCTGATCAACTGGAGACCCACCAAGGTTATACCCTGATTGTGTCATTGTGGGAGTGTGGGATTCTCCTCTTCCAGTTGTTGACTGTGGGGGACAGGATATCTTAGTTGCTTATAAATCTCCACAGCTGAGATTTCAACCCAAAGCCACTGATTCCCTAAGATTAGACAGAGACTAACTGAACACAGGGAAGAGCCACCAAGTCATTGAGTTGTGGGAGGAGGGCTTAGTGACAGGTCAGTGTGTGAACAGGTCAGCTGATTAGCAGTCCATGGGGACAGTGAGTGAAACACCCAAGATAATTTGGAGGGGCACAGAGATCTATTTCCCACTAAACCTTGCTCCTGTATGGTCATTGCCCTAGCAGTGGGAGGCTTTATACTCCCTGTGGACCATTGCCCTGCCTGCTCCTGGTGCATCACAGTGGGCACCCTGCATGATCTCACCCTTTTTTGGTCACCCTTGAGCCTCACCAACTGCTGTCCCAAGGACAGGCCTTGTCTGGGACCTTTGCTGACTCCCCAACCCCACTTTTCTGCCCCAGCTTCTGGGCCTTTTGTTCCTTCTGGAACTCCAAAGGGTCCCCATGGTCAGTCTGAGCTGCAAAACATAGAAAGTGAGTGGTGACAGCACCTCAGGAAGGATCAGCACACAAGCAGAGTGGGAGGCTGCACACTCCTCTCTCCACAGCTCATGTAATAAGGAACAGAACACCAGTAAGATGTGAAGATTCCAATAGTGAACCATTGCAATCATATTTATCATCTAATGTCTTTCTACGTCACAAGAATTCATGACAAGCTAATTTGAAGCACACATGGTACATTTACAAAAATCAACTCTCTTGGGTTTTTGTCCATAGAGAAAATCTCAATATATTTCAGAGGAATAAAATCGCATTGCATATTTCTGATCTTTAATTATGCTATAAGTCAACAATAAAGAACTACCTAAAAAGTCCCATAGGGTATAAAATTCAGAAGTAGTCTTTTAAGTAAAATATAAATGTAAAAAAAATCCAAATGACTAGGTGACAATTTTGAACTGAATGATGTGATTACGTTTCAATAAAATGTCTCCTTTTGGGCTAGAAATTCCACTTGTGTAACAAGACTGTATATCTCACATCACCCTTAACATTTTAATACCTGAAACATGGGTAGGTGTGCCATTTATCTATGTCATCTTACTGTCTACAATCCTGGATTTCAACTTTTGAACCGAAATAGGGGTTGGGGGAGGAATCAAGCTGATGTTTACAGTTGACGTCCCAGTGATCTCCACGGAATTTGTGCCTTTTAAGAGACAAAGTTCATCAGCTTCTATGCTTGGGGATTTGGGGGCAATATCCAGAGACCTTGGCAAAGCTGCCTAGCAGGGATCAAGGGTCTCAGGTGACCAGGACAAAACTGTACTGACAACCAACTTTCCTGGGCCCTGTCTTCAGCTGAACTTCCTAAAGATCTTTTTCTGCCTGATTGCAAAGACTGTTCCCAAACTGTTCAGGTCTTTAGTATTACATAACTGTACTGCACATATGACACTTTCTAACACTGCTGTAAGTGAAAAACCAATGTCTTTTACCGTAAGTATAAAGAAACCATAAACCACGATCAAAACAAAAACACAAGTATAAGGGAACAATGGTATTATGTTCTACTTAGATGCTGCTGCCTGCATAAATGGCCCCAGAATTGGGTTTTCCTGGTCATATACAGAGAGCCAGGCACAGTAGCACTGAAGTCAGAGTAGCCTAAAACTGAGTGGAAGAAACCCAGGATTCCCATGAAGGGGATATAGACTGAGCAGAGCCATGGAAAGTAAGGAGAAGTGCACAGGTGGGACCCCAAACAGGGGAAGAGTTCATTCCTGCAGCTCAGAAAGCACTCCACAAAGCCAGCGTCAATCCCACCAGCGGGTGCTCCTAACCAGTTGTGTGACCCTGGGCTGCTGCCCTTTTGTACAATGGAAATGCAAGCACAATCTCCCCCCAACTCTGGCACTCCAGAGTGCTCTTCAGTGGGCTTCCAGGGAGAACAGAGCCTGGCATGACCTGCTCCACCCAAGCTCTGATGGAAGGGGAAGTCTCCCAGATTCCAAACTGTGTGCTGTGGACCTGCCCCTTGAAAGATCTTGGAGCTAATCCAAAGTTCTGAGGCCTAGAGGGAGAGTCTGGCCCAGGGGTAGCTCAGATTTGGAGAGGGGTGCATTTGGGGTAGCTCAGATTTGGAGAGGGGCACATTTAGCACAGCTTTATTCACAGACAAACGCACCACACCGTGAGTCACTAACATAAGTATTTTATTACCTGCAACCCCAATCTAAGAGTGCACCTGGGCAACTTTGAAGGAGCAGGGACTTGGAGGACAGAATTTAAATGAAAAGAACAAAACTGTTAACAATCTTGGTGGTCCTCATACCCTTCCAATCCAACCCTCTTAAGACCCCATCCTCATTCTTATCATAGTCGGGAAACTGAGGAGACCTGGAATTTGCATGATGGACTCAGTGGGCTCTGGGTTTTTGTGATTACATCAAACCAAACTCCTTTCTTCGCAGTTCACTCCGTTTAATCTTGCCAGTGATGGTTTTAGGCAGCTCTAGGACAAACTCCACCTGGTTGAGGATAAAACAAATTCATGGGGTCTTGGTGTCATTTTTGGCCAGTTCCCCATCCCTCCTGGGCCCCCTCACGGTCCCCCCCGATAGGAGAGCTCACATGGTGGCCTTAGTGGGGTTCACTGAGTATTTCAGGTCCTTCTCCTGACCACTGAAGTTACATGTGGCCATGTGACTTGCTTTGACCCATGAGATGGGAGTAGAAGGGGAGTGTGTCACCTCTAGATATAAATATTTTCAGCCATCGGTACTGGCCACACTATCCTCCATCTCTAATGGGTCCTGGCAGGTGGGATCCTGAATGGTGGCTGCTCCTCTATCCTGGTCTCAGCATGAAAGGATGTGAAGTAAGGGACCCAGGAAAGCCATGGGGGACATGGAGCCCCAGCAAGAAAGGAACCTTCATTGTTATAAGTCTTCATTGTTTGGGGCTATTTACCTGCAGTGATTTCTAGCCCATCTTGACCAGCTCGCACCACCTGTGCTATTTTCTAAGCTGCAGCCTAGCTAACCAGCAGGACATGAACTTAGCTGTCAGCCACTCATGGGTTAAGTTCCTGTTCTGCCTATTATTGACTGAAACCTCAGGCAATATACTTTGAGTCCCTGAGCTTCCTTTCCTGTCTGCAAAGTGGGTTAGCTATAGTATCTCAAATTGTGGAAAGGATTAGGTTAAGTCACAGTGCAGAGCTTGGAGCCCGGGGCCTGCCACGCAGTAAGTGCTTGATCAATGTTAGCCACAAACTGACAGCTTCATTATGGGTATTCATGCTGAATATTCTGACAATGCAGCAAAGTATTATAAAGGAGAAAATGGGGACTTTTTGGCCTATATAGCCTTTCAAATTTTGCTTTTAAATAGGATAATGCTATGCATAGTTTTTCATAGCCTGTGTTTGTCTCTTAATAATACATTGTTGAGGTATTTTTATCTTAAAACAATTTGCATCATTTTAAATGACAGGATAATATTCAATTCAATGGGTAATTTAGTAATTTCCTTATTGCTGAGCATTTTTGTAGGGTGCACACAGCATTAGATCAAATGAAGCAGAATAAAATTAAAAATGTATTACGTGTTATAAGATAAATATCATTTTTGTTAACTTATTTTATTCACATATATAGAATATATATGTGAAAAAAATATGTAATATAGAATGCATTTCCTACTATGAATCATGTTAAAATAGTTTTGAAGCTGCTGAACTGGATTTCTTTTTCAGATTTTGCAGGATTGTGTTATTTTAAAGTATGTTTGGTACTGTCTGCTTTTTTTTCTTTTGCTTAGCACGCCAGCGATAATTCCTTTGGCGTTTCAGATACAGGATAGTGGTTGCCATCCAAATCAGGCAGCTACTCTGTCCTATCCTTAAGCCATATTGCTGCTTCTATAGAGGACAAAGCCAGTGCTGTTGGCCACCTAAGCTCCCCCTGCACAGTCACGCCATAAGACATGGGGCAGCCAAGCGCCATAAACTGCTCAAAGATACCCTACGCCATCCATATGCCTTCACTCACCTTCCTCGGGTACTTGTATGGGGCTGTAGCCATCTTCACGTGCTCCTGCAGCTCTTTGGTGAGCTGGTCCCGATCATGAGACAGGAACTGAGGGCTCAGGACGATAAATGCCTTCACCACCTGCAGAACACGAGCAGCAACTCTCAGTGAGAGCTTAAAATGTAAATGTTCATTGAATGAATGGAAAGATGAACTGACATTCATCTATAGTGGTTAAGAATATGTGGGCTTTAGAGAAAACCAGGGCGAGCTGCTAATACCTCTCATTTTTATTCTGTGCCTGTACTTTCAAGTAATTGAAAAATGACTTGACCTCTCTTTAGCCTCATTTTTCTTCTCTGTGAAATGGGGACAATAAAGATTCCTTCTTCTCGGAGTTCCTGTAAATATTCCATGAGCTTATCCATGTAAAACATCAAACTAGTTTGAGTTTTTTTATTATTCCTAACATGATTATCATTATCATTTTTTCTATCATTATATATACATTTCTGTGCCTGGAACCCAACGGGAATTTAGTAATTATTGAAAATTTATTATTTTTAAGTTATATATCTCCTTTTAGTTGCACAAGGCACATAGAAGGTGCTCAGTAAACACCGAATGCATGCTGCTCTTGCAACACATTGAGTGTTATATTCCAGCTGTGTAATGTGGCAAGGTACTTAACCTCGATATGATTTTCTCTCCTCATCTGTACTGAGAGTTCCTAGAATACCGGGTTTATGAGAGTTCATTGACTTGGATGTCATTATTTTCATCCATAATCGTTCTCAAAGCCATAGGCAGTGCCACAGCGCCCCCTGCTGACCATATCGTGCAAGTGCACATGCACCCCAACTGCTTTCCACCCTAGGTCCAGGGCTCGGCGGGTAAGGCCTGGAGCAGCGGTCCTCAAACTTTTTAAACAGGGGGCCAGTTCACTGTCC